GGAGGGAGGGTTGGAAACAATATTCTATTTTTGTTTTGGTTTAAAGAGTGAAGTTTGCTAAATAAAAATTTACTAGAGAGCATTCGGTGTGGCGTCTTTCTTTTACCTACTAACTTAAAGGGCGAGTCCACCCAAAACTAATATTTAAAGGGTCTGTTTATGAACAAATCGCACAGCAAACAGCTGAGGAGCATAAAAAATACACACTTATTGCCTGTAATCCTTTGGCTCCATCTAGTGGCCATAATGAGGAATTACAACATAGGAGCAAAGGCCTATACATACTTATTTCCTATGCTCATTAGCTCCATCTAGTGGCCATAATGAGGAATTACAACATAGGAGCAAAGGCCTATACATACTTATTTCCTATGCTCATTAGCTCCATCTAGTGGCCATAATGAGGAATGACAACATAGGAGCAAAGGCCATACATACTTATTTCCTATGCTCATCAGCTCCATCTGGTGGCCATAATGAGGAATTACAACATAGGAGCAAAGGACTATAAATACTTATTTCCTATGCTCATCAGCTCCATCTAGTGGCCATAATGAGGAATTACAACATAGGAGCAAAGGCCATACATACTTATTTCCTATGCTCATTTGCTCCATCTAGTGGCCATAATGAGGAATTACAACATAGGAGCAAAGGATATACATACTCATTTCCTATGCTCATCAGCTCCATCTAGTGGCCATAATGAGGAATTACAACATAGGAGCAAAGGATATACATACATATTTCCTATGCTCATTAGCTCCATCTGGTGGCCATAATGAGGCATTACAACATAGGAGCAAAGGCCATACATACTTATTTCCTATGCTCATCAACTCCATCTAGTGGCCACAATGAGGAATTACAACATAGGAGCAAAGGCCTATACAGTACATACTTATTTCCTATGCTCATCAGCTCCATCTAGTGGCCATAATGAGGAATTACAACATAGGAGCTAAGGCCATACATACTTATTTCCTATGGTCATCAGCTCCATCTGGTGGCCATAATGTGATATTACATGAAAAATTATATTGCACTTGTCAACAAAAAACTTGTATCATATATTCACATAGATGGAACTTTCACAGGGATGTTTGCCCCGCAAATTGTTTATAAATAGAACACTTAGTGTTAGTGAGTTCCCGGGTCTGTACACCTGCTGTGCCCATTATGAGGGGCCCCCACCATTCCTGTGCTGAGTTCCTGGGTCTGTACACCTGCTGTGCCCATTATGAGGAGCTCCCACCATCCCTGTGCTGAGTTCCCGGGCCAGTACACCTGCTGTGCCCATTATGAGGAGCTCCCACCATCCCTGTGCTGAGTTCCCGGGCCAGTACACCTGCTGTTCCCAACCCTGACTAATAACTTAAATATCACTTTAAGGGTCCATTTCCCACCAGCCTGGCTCACTGGTTTGCCTTAGGACAGACCTTTCATTGAAATGGGCTGCCTAAAGCACTATAACATTGTCCTGCAGCGTTTTTAGGGAGCACACACACAGTGAGAATAGACCCCAATTGGACCAAGGGGGGGTGGGGGT